ATTTGAGTTAAGACTCACTCTGATCGTTCTCCTTTTTTCAAGAAATATGTATTCTCTCTGCATGCTTTTGTAGCCCAGATGAAAATTATTTTTGCGCGTAATTAAAACGCACAACATGTTTGCATGGCGACTAGAAATTTTGAGTACTAATGGTAATTAAAATGCAGCGCCTATTATTGTCATAAGGCCCAAATCTAGATTTTTTCCATCATGAAAAAAAAAAAAAAAAAGGAAAATATTTTTAAAAATGGCTAAGTCTTGTATCCCAGTTTGGCTTAATTGGTCACTATTTATGGGGTTATTATGAAACAAATGTTAAGATATATGATGGCAGAAATGGTTATTAAATGACTGATTCATCTGATCGAACTTCATCTTAAATTAATTAAATATGTGAAATTCGTGACAGCTGCAAGAACATAGTTGGAAATCTGGATGGAAAAATACCAAATGCCAAGTCGCCATCGTATGTTAATTTGGCGGACTTAATCGATGCTGCTGTCAGAAGCTAAAAGAGCAATTTGTAAGACTCGGGAAAAGGATCCAAGGCATTAGGATTCACTAGCCCACAAATGATTTTAGAATCTAAAAATAGGCAACTTCAAACGAGTGGTTGTTCTGTCCCTACGCAAGCAGGTGGTGTTGCAAGACACAAGCTTGTCTACGCGCGAAAGCTGGACACTGATCGCATTTCTGAACTATTTGGCAGCTAGGAGGAAGAACGAAACGGTTTCCTGTGACAATTTTGTCGGCAAAACCGCAAAAGTTCATTCTCCGGCAGCATCGCATCTCAATGTTCAAATCGCAGCCTGCCTCCAAGCTGTCTGACATGCCTTGCTTATTCAACTCCCTCCACTACCCCACCGGAGTTGGCACACTGCCAGGACTTCCCCGCTCCGCCACCTATTGGCTACGTCAGGCTCTTTAAATTTCGACTCTTTCCGTTCTCCTCGTCCCTAACTACTTATTTTCTGTTTCTTTTCTTGCTTCTAACTACTTACTTTTCAGGAAAGATGGTTAGTTAAAAATTGGAAGCAATTCGTGCCGCAGGTGCGCTAGGAAGAAAAGAGAGCTGCTGGTTCTGACAAGGACCTTAGATAGAACTTTTAAAAGGAGATTACATAGTTAGCTGTTGGTGATTTTAAAAAGTTTATTTTTGAGGCAAATTAGGTAAAAATATAACTTGTCGCGACGAAGGCGACAATCAAACAGTTGATTGCTGTTGTTGTTAAACCTGTGGGTTCTTTAGATGTGACTTAATGACAATGCGATTAACAGATTAAATTCCAGAGAATTTAGAATATACTAATCGCATTTGCCGTTTTGCTACAGTTAAAACTATTAATAAATTTGTTTCTTAACAGTATTAAAACTTAACGATACTTGTTCAAAACGCATTTTTAAACTCTGCAAGTATGTCTTGATGATTCGATTACTGATCGACTAATTTGGAATGAGAATTTAATGGCACATATGTTCAAGATGAATTTTTAAACTGTACAAGTATGTCTCGATTATTCTATTATTGATCGAATGTTCAGGAATTATCGGGTAATAAATAATAATTAAGACACTGTTGAAAACCAGAAAGAATGATTTCTTAAATTGTAAACATAACTTAATAACCCCATCCCCCCAAAAAATGTGAATGAAGAGTTATATGTATTATTTTCGAATAGAAAAAAAATTCTGTTACTAAATAATGAAGAATTTCTATGTATGTATGAATGTTCTTTTGTCCCTTGCATTGTGGAAAAACGGCGAACCCAGAGCCACCGGATTTTGAACATAGTATGTAGTCCTTCAATCGAACACATGCACCTCAAATCCCAAATTTCGCATTTTTTTTTTTTTTTTTTTTTTTTTTTTTTTTTTTTTTTTGTGTTTTGGGCGAATTTAATGAAATTTTGATTACAAACTCGAGGACTAAAAAGAAATGTGTTGTCACCACCCGAAATATAATACATTTATCTTCTACGCAACGGTGTGTTGCTATTCAGCAAAACGTAAAATAACTATTTTTTCCATCAAATTTAATCTGTCTGTTTGGTGACTAACAAGCTAAGTTTAAAAGCAGCAATCGCAGTTATTTTTATCTCTTTTATCATTAATCGCTGCCTGTATTCCTTAAAATCATTATACATTCGTCCTTTTTTTTTTTTTTTTTAATTGCTAAACGGTGCAGGAATATTTTACGCCGTACAGTATTTGGAATTTCACGTCTGTTTTGTATGTTGATGTCCTGCATTCAATTGTGCGAACGGGAAATACGCAAAAAATTAATACACGAAATATAAGCGCAAAAACTAGAGGAAAGATATTTTTAATGTGTCATTGTTACAAGTATTAATTTTTTGTTTCGAAGATTATATTCGTTTATCCGCAGCCATATCTTAAATTCCTTTTAGGAGAAGTTGAGCTAATTCAGATACTTTCTACCGTCTTGCCAGATTCACAGATGTTTTCTTAAACATTTGAAGTGTTCTACTATGGGCTTACAACATCATTGTAAATATAATTTTCGTTTTCTTCAAACTGTTGTCCTGGTTTGTGGTTTGCGGAAACGAAAATGTTCGAATAATTGGGCAATTCCAGATATTTGGAGTTCAGATATTCGATAACTTGTTTAAAATGATTCCTTTTTATTACTATTATCATTCTATCTGTGTCTATAACTAACCTTTAATAATTCCCGTCTCAGTGCGTAAACCCCATTATAAACACTACGTATCTTATTACCTTATATTAATTTTTAAATTCTTTAAAATTTTTTAATCATTGTATTTCTTATACTGTTGTTGTTATATAATAAGAAATAATTATTATTTCTGTTATTATTATTATAATGGCGATGATTATATTTCAATTATTATTACATGTTCTTTAGTTATTTTTATAGCTTATCATCATACTAAATCATAATATATCGGATTATTTAAAACTCTCTATTAATAAATTAAAATAATTTTAAACTTTCATTAGGCATCAATTTATGGTTTATGTCTGGTATTAATTAGAATGTCATAATAAGTGAAACTGGTATTGTATTCAGCATCGATATCTTACCATATTATGATTGCCAAGATAAAAAAATGTTTTCTTTACATAATGCAAATATTATACCATTTTTTTTTAAAGAATTACCCTTCTCTCATGATTAGATAAATTTTAAATATTTTGATTCACATAATCCTACATTTCAAAAGAATAATTTGATAATGATATATAGAACTTTGTGTTCTCATTTAAATTTCATAGTCCTGTAAAGCTTTTGTAAGAAATGCTAGAACTGCTGAATTCCAAACGATTATCTTTTAAGTCTCAAAATCTTTCCCCCCTCCCGAATACCTGTAAAGCTTTGTAACTGGCACTCATAATGAACGACATTATCATTATAAGATTATTACGTTCCTATCTACTAACCTTACAGCGATTATAATTCGGATTTTAACTTTATTTAACTCAGCAAGAAGTTACTTTTCTAGTGACTAGTTACGAAAGAACAAATACGCTTATGAAAATGTAATTTTTTTTTTTTTAAAGAAGATATGTAGCAGTTCACCGCATTTACTCGCTTTAATTTTATTATTATTATTTTTTTTTTACTTTTTTATTATTTTCATTTGTTTATTTATTTTTATTATTTTTTCAAAGGTAGAAAACATTTTTACAGTATTCAAAGCATTTTTCTATCACGTGACTTAATATTGTATTATTTTACTAAATGAACGTAATACAGTATCACTCGAATCACGTAAACGGCTTGATAAATTGTTAATTTTGAAAGCTGTTACCATTCCACCCCGCGTAGGTTACTTTATTTATCTTTTAGACTGGAACAGAATATTGTTTATTATGAACTGAATTATTTATAAGCAAAATAAATAATTACTGAGTTATTTATAAACAAAATAAATAATTCTTCAAAACATTACTTACATTCATAGCATCGATATAAAAATGATTTTGATGGCATATCTTAACATATATTTGGTACATGCTCGGCAGATTAATTTAATTCCAATAACATCCAACTTACTTAAGAAGGAGGGCTTTCAAAATTTTCCTTAATTAATTTAGAATATAATTATAGAAATTTTATTATTTTTCTGTTATAACTTCTACATATTATTTGACATTGGCCACATCAGAGATTAAGCAGTTAGCTTGCCGCTGACGACGCTAAGCTTCTTAATAACAAAGAGAGACATTATTTGGCATTAATTTATTTATTAATTATAACAACCCTCTTATAATAAAAGAACTTTTTCTTACTTTCGTTTTTGATCGATTACCTACTCATATCGCCATTTTCAATTCCAAAAAGCAATTTCAAAGCATTTAGATTTTTACTATTCTCCAAACCAGATCTACAATACGATGTTGCCACTCCGGTTTTCTTTTAAGAAATATTAAACTTCTAATTAATTCGAATTTATCTGATAAATAGAACGGTCATTTAAAAAATATTAATGATATGCCAGTAATTATTAAAAAATACACATTTTAGAATAATCATGTAATCCCGTCTTACAGTATTTCGCATTTAGTTGATAAATATGTACAACAATTATTATAAAAAATATTAATAATATGACAACAATTATTAAAAAATATACATTTTAGAATTATTTTGTAATTATGTCTTACAAGTTATCTCATTTGCTGATTATCTCGTTTGCTTTGCTTGACAATCTAGTTTTAAAACTGTGTTCAATATTTTCTATGAATTTTAATACTGTTTTTTCTGAAGAAGCAAATGATGGTTACGATTCTGATTTAAACAATTTTTAATTGATTTAAAAAAATAATCGTTTGGCGCTAATGCACATGTATTATGATGTATTAAAACAATTCCTTTCGGGTGAAATTTCGCTCCTTCTAACGCCATGGAAGTTAATGGGAAAGTCCTCTTATAAACTCCTCTCCTCGCAGTGGAATCGTCCTCTCAGCTTCCGCTTCTGACGTCAGCTGCCGGTCGAGTAGTCCCAGCGCAGTTGTTCGTTCAGATGGACGCGAAACGCGCTCGCGAGTGCAGCTGAAACTTACGTTGTCCAGTGTTAAGGACTCTTGAATGTACAATATATATGTTGTGGCAGCGACCGTATTTCCACCACACTGAATCCGCGATCCGGTTGTTCGACATGCTTAGGGGAGCTGCAGCTGTGGTGGACTCAGTGGAAATCATTTAATGGTGTACCAGGAACTGAAGAAGTGCTTTCTTCGACTTTTGAAACCACTGCGGTACTTTTCCGGTGGTTATCCAAAACTGTGATTCTGGTTTTGTCTGAAATGCTCAGATATTTAACGCACAAACTTCGCACACAATCTCTCAGTGAAAGCGAAACCTACCATGTCAAGGTAAGCGATTTACAATTCGCTTCCAGCGCGCGCTGCGTACGAAACAGATCTGCATAAATGTTAATAGCAAACTTAAGTTGTTGCAGTTTTCAAACTTTAAAACTTTTGGCAACGATTGCCTTTTTGTATTTCAACAAGATGCCATTTGATATCGACGATATTAATATGCGTGCAGTGACAACACAATTTCTCGCATTCTATGTCCAAAGGTTGGTTTTAAAATTCTGTTGTCGTTATTTTCTCATTGTCGCACGAGACGAATGTGATCAACTAATTCTATAGTTTTAGAATGAGTTTTTTTCGCTTGAAAAGCAAATGTTGCGTTGTTATTCCATCGAATGCTGTTTTCAGCGTTATAGTGTTGGAGTATTTTAGATTTGAACTTTCTTGATAAGAACTATGTATGGTCGGTAGTTAAGCTACCCCACTTGTACTTCTCATACGTAACTGTGATTTAGTTTCGCTGTTCTCAGCGTGTTAATTGAGTCGTTTTCTGGCGGATGAATTAACAATTTGCAAGTTTTTCCTGCATGTGATTACATTTTCGCCGGCGCTGTTGTTTTTATATCATTTCAAATTTACAATTATTCTCGCTTTGCGACAATGAAATATTGACTGACCAAATCTTATTACTCGAATTTGCTTATTTCAGAATGAACGTGATTTTTTTTTTTTTTTTTTTAACTGGTGGTTACTTTCTGTGTACAGTTTTAAATGGATATATGGTACTTTACTCCGAAAGGGGTGTATTATTCCATAGTTCTTTTCAGATATTTTCCATCCTCGTATATTTATTTAGCCTGTTAGCTTGGTATTTCGTTATTTTTATTCGATCAGAGATTATGTCCTGGGATTGTCATATGTATTAGAGCTGTGATTCTAAAATCGATGCTCGTCACTATGTTAGAATCTGCGATTTGTTGCTTCTGTAATAACAACAAATTTTTGGTAGTTATCCTTCAGTCATTTTGGATACACCCATTTCGGATACAGTATATATCCTTTATAATTTCTGCACTATCAGGTCTTTCTTTTCGTGTTAAGCTGAAATACATACAGTATTTGTTTCGATCTGCGGAAGCATGTGCACGTTAATGGATAGTTTAATAGGTAGCTTTTCTTGCTACTAGTCATGGCTTTTATTAACTGTCTATGCTACGCGTATTTCGATTTGATGGACGTCTTGGAACTTTTAGCAGCAGTTTTACAAATAGAATATTTATTTTACATCCGTTTCGGGCCATTTCATAGCGTACTTTCACGTAAATGATATTTATTATGTATTCGAAACGACTTGTTTTACTATATGCTTATCTTCGTTTCAAAGATAATTATCAGTTTGTTATCCATAATCGTCGATTTCGAATAAACGTTATCGAGAAATAACGATAATACTTTTTTTTGACAATCCTTTAACTTGATTAAATGTAGATTTATAGAGACTGCATACCTTTTCGGCAGAATTACACGCTCCATTTCATCCTATTTAATGCTACATTACGTCGAACAAGTTTAGATGCGTTTTTTCATTCTTCGATAAAGCGTGTATTCCCTTTGCCTTCATTTGGTATCAAACTGTGTATAATAATGTGAAGTGAAACAGGTATTTGATGAACTTTTCGTGCAGATTCCTTTCTGTCACATTTAACAATTTAGGTTAAATGAGCCACTAGATAAGAATGTTGGCTATCTTTCTTTGAATAATATTGTAGTTTGGCTAATTAGCTGATAGTTCAGAATTATCGTCTAACGTTAATTCTCTGGCGCATTTGCGTTAATTTTAGGGATTTAGTAGTTGTATTGGAAATGTTTCGTTGACAGTTTCATCGATGCCATCGTATTATACATTTTTTAAATGGTTTAATAATCAGTTATTGGTTTTTGTGAAGGCAGGTCTTTAGTTAGCGTCATATTGCAAACGGCATTTAGAATTCTGATGATTTTATTCGTTGTAAACGCATTAGCGTATTGATTTAGTGGTTGTATATTTAGAAAATGTTTTTTGAACAACTTCATCGGTGTCTTCATATATTCTTTGTATATTGTTTGTGGCAAGTCTGTAATCAGCGTCATGTCTGAGAAAGAAATTAAGAATTTTAGCCATTTTGTTCATTGGAGACGCGGAATAATTAAGTGACAATGCAATGATTAAATTATTGGCTTCGTAACTTAAGCGTCAAGAACGTGACAAGGGAATTGTTGAAAGCTGTCGTCATTAGCGTGTTTCTTTTCACTTTCACATTTCTTCTAGTTATGGCCCACTTTCTTGCGATTTATTTACTCTGCTTCGATTGCAGCATTATTGTGAAATAACAAAATAGGTGTTAAGGTTTAGTTGACAATCGAACGGTTTTGAGGCTTGTAGAACGTGTTTGTAAATCGGTACACATCGTGCATTGCTGTCAGTCAGATAAGCCCATTTGCCGCAGCGTTCGATCGGCTGCTTTTTCGAATCCGATAATTTCCCTTTTTTACACTTTTGCAGTTGCTGTTTTCCTCCTGCCATAGTTAATGTATTTTCCAAAATAATCCAAACCAGTTTCAATCTTGCGTTCGCTTAGTAATAGAAATTACTGTAATTACTTCTCAGTATTTGGTTATTTTGAATTAGCTTGGAGTTTTTGAGAGTTCTACTATGTATTACAGAACTCAATTTGATATCAAAGTATTTTTAGATATGGTGCTGGTTTAGCAACAATAAACAGTGTATTTTTTGTGTTATTTATATATATATATATATATTTTTTTTTTTTTTTTTGAGATTTCTATTAAGTTCTTTAATTTCGAAAACACATTCTCGAATGAATGTTGTCTGTTACATTACATTTGCCATTAAAACTGGTTTCAAACTAGAGCCTTGGGTCAGGTGACCGAATCTATACTGTTATTTTATTAGCCGGTTTTTAATTTCCGTATTTGTGGGATTTTGTGATTAGTCATGCACTTGAATTTTTTGAACGACCCAAATGCTTTTTCTTCTTCCTGTTTGACGTTTTTTTATTGAAGGTAGTTTCAAGCTAGAACTGATATTAGTGTTATAAATTTTAGCTGTTTTTTAAAATTGTTTTCTTACTGAGTACATTTTAGAATTTTCATTGTAGTATGTTTTCTTGGTTGTAGTTTTTGGCAACGATGTTGAATAATGTGTAACAACATAAATATTTTATCAGAATTAATTTAATTTTTATTGTATTTATTGTAATAACTTGTTGTCATTTTTAATTCAAATTATCTGTTAAAAAGTTTATCGCCCAGAAATAAGTAATGATGCTTGAAAAGTGATGCTGACATTTTGTGCATTTTAAAGAATACCGTTTCGGGAATTTAGCAAATCTTTTAAAAGAAACTTATTTTTTTCAATAATAATACTTCTTACATATTTTTATCATTTTTTACGATTTTCAAACGTAAGGATTTTGTGTGTTTCTAAATGCAAATTTCTTTTTATATAAGATATAAATAGAGATAACAATAAGATATAAATTTTTATGTAACAATAAGATATATATAAATAGAGAGAGTAATGCTATGAAATGTATGTTTACTGATTGCTATATTGATGTTATTAACAGAAATTTCAACTGCTTATATTTAACTAATATAGTGATTTAAAACGAGTATTGTTTTCCATTCACTTTGTAAGATTTCTTGCAGAATCACAAAAAAATATTTTAACTTTTTTTAATTTGAAAAAATGTGATAGTTTCTAGTTATTAACAAACCTAAATTTCCTGATTTACCTTAGCATAATGTTAAAAATTTACAAATTATCAGTCGAGCTTTTAAGGTTAATTAGCCAGGTAAAACGCAGTTTACAGAATATAAATTCGGCTTGAATACTTGCACCGTTGTGTACAAAATTTTGAAATGTAATTTGTTTGCTAATAACAATTATCATAATTATGTGTCTGTTTTTTAATGTTGTTTCACTGTTTTGTGTTCGGGACAGCAATATTCTTTTTGCGATTTATTTATTTATAGTCACTGTAATCAAATTTGCCAAGAAGCCAGTTTTTAATTTTGTAGCAATTAAAACCGGCTGATATGTTTAAAAGGTAGTTCTTGCGAAACTTCAATGCGGGTGTTGCGATCAGCGTAATTCTCTGGGGTGGTTGACATTTACCTAGATTTCGCTTATCCGTTTTTCTGGGAGAGATAAAAAGAGGTCGTCATCCATATAGAAGATAACGCTTCATGTAGATAAGACATTTATTGTGCTAAATATTCATTAGAAAATACTGTAACTGGATTATCATCTCAAGTTGAAATGATGGATATTAAATGCTATTTTAAGGGCTTTCGCGTTGTATTGAAAAATTAATTCTTTGATAAAAAAAATCGAATAAACGACTAGCCTGAAGGGAAAAGGGATGTATATGCTGTTTTATTGTCACTATTTGGATTCTACTAATTTGACTGTTGAAGATCACTATTTTGAATCCGAGATTTTATTTGTTAAAGATTCGCTGTTTTTTCGCCGCTATTTTGATTTTACAATTTTGACGCCTAAAACATTCGCTGTTTTAATTCTGGGGTATTAACTGCTGAAGGTTCGCTATCTTAGTGTCTCGATTTTGATTCTGCAATTCTGACGCTTGAAGATTCACTATTTTGATACTGCGATTTCTATATTTGCGATGCTTCGTTGTTTTACTGTCCCTATTTTGATCCTACGATTTTGACGCTTGAAGATTCACTGTTTTGATTCTAAGATTACCACTGTTAAACATTCGCTACTTTGTTATCGCTATTTTAGATTCTACGATTTTGGCAGCTAAAGATTCGCTAAATTGATTCTGAGATTTTTAACTGTTGAAGATTCGCTACTTTGTTGAGACATTTTGATTCCATGATTTTGACGCTTGAAGACTCACGATTCTGAGATCTTAAATGGTTAAGAATCACTGTTATACTGTCACTATTTTGATCTTACTCTTTTAACTGCTGAAGATTCACCATTTTGATTCTGCGAGTTTTTACTCTTAAAAGTTCGCTTTGTT